ATTGCATGTGCTTACCGTGGGTGTGGGAATACATGTGCTTCAGTATACATAAAATACAAAGTGCCAAATTGTCGCTTTGCATGGCGTCTCTTGGTTTAGTTTTTTTTTTCTTGACTGGCTCGAAGCAGTGTTAAGTGAAATGTTTATGGGTATCACAAAAGTTTTGACATTTACTGCCTGACGCAGACAATCGCCTCACAGAAACTGTGCGGTTGCAAAAGTTAATTATCACCTTGCACACTGTGCATCTTTATGCATGACTGTATGCTGTAAATTATGAATGTGGATACATCACGTTCTCTCCTTGTTGTCTGGAACGCAGTTATGAGTTTACAATCATTGCTCTCTTCTGTCAGACGGGTCAGATTCTGAATTAAAACAGTGATTCATGTTATACTCTCAGAGGAGCACTTCATAAGTGGTTTTCCTGCATTTTTCCAGAAGTTATAAAACATAAATATTGGCAGAAAGAATCGATTCAAAGAGATCTTTTTGATGCTTCGGTGTTTTTCCAATATCTCACAACGTCGTCACATCATGAAAGAAAGAGACGGCGAGACAGACGGAGTGAGAGAATGAGACAGCGTGACGGACAGAGGGAGGGGAAGGAGGGCGAATCTTGCTGCGACAGCCTTTTCACTCCTTATGAATGACGTTTTTCTTCCCCCTCAGCATTCTTTGGGACTTCAAAGCGTCGATCTCAGCAGAGTGATTTGGCCCTTACTATTGTGTGAATGGTGAATATTCATCGGGGTCTTTCTTTTCCTTGAGGGCTGAGACTCTGCTTTGGTTCTGCAGGGATCTCACAATATAGTAGTAGATATAGATAAAGATTGTATACAGATGGATGTCTGATGTCTTGCGCCAACAAGGGTGTCTGGACTTATATGGATACATACTCTTTCAGTAAGTAATTAAGTTAAATATCATAATTAAATCACAATTCCTTCGTACTCCCATTAAATAAAACGGAAGAACCTTAAATGATTAGCTCATTGTTGTTGACAAAGCCTATTCCACAATCTAATTTATAACTAGGGATTTGAAAATGCAGAGGATGTTGTTTGGCACAGTGCCATTAGTTGAATAATCTGTTAACAATTCTGATAATTGATTAATTGTTTAAAGCAAAAAATGCCCAAAAGATATCTGGCTCCACCTTCTCGCGTGGCAATTTACTCTTTTCCGCTTATTTTTTATCACTGTGAATTGAATATCTTTGTGTTTTCAATGACAACAACAAACAATCTGTAGATTCAAAACACGTCAGGCTGCTGGAAATTGACATATCGTGGGAATAACGATTAATCCTGCCCCATGTTTTGTTGTTTGTATTGTTTCTAAAAACTCAATAAGGAAAGGAAGCACATCTTTGTCTTGCTGGTTGATGAAGATGGTGTCACGCTTTTCTCGACTCTTGCAACCTGATTGGACCATCTGGGCCGGACAGCTGTGTTGCCACGGAAATAAACTGCTTTCCAGGATTCTGTGACAGCAGGTTTAACACTGAGCTTTCTGAAAATCCTCCTAATTTCACAGAGCTGGGGGTCAGTTTGGCCCCCAGCTGGAACATCGCTCGTGATACGCATTCCATCTCTGCCCAACGTAATTTCATCATCTGTGTTCTGCCATGGCTTTTTGTTTCACAGGTTAGCGGTGATTGTTCACAGTCATCCATCCCGCTCCTCTTGCTGTGTGATGAAAGGTGCGTTTGCGCCTTTAAAGTCCTCTTCTGAAATAAAAAAACGTGGCTCATTTTCATGGTGCACTGTAGCAGGTATTATTGTAACGGTCTCTATTTCATAAGAAAATGTTTGCCTTATGAAATGGAGACAGATTATTACAAACAACCAAGCTGCATTAATTGATCTCTGACTGCCGGAGGGCAGAACGTGGGGGATACAGTCTGCAAAACAAATTGAAAATAATCGCGCAGCTCAACTACTCCCCTCCCTCCCTCCCCGTCTCTCCCAAATCAAACCTTAAAACCCAATCTACTAAGAGGTCAAAGCCAGAAGTGGGGCACCATAGATGAAAACATATGCCACCATGACAAGGGAAGATGTACTTGATTTACTGAAGTACATTGTGTGCAATGACTTCTGACAGTGTTTATGTGGCCTCTTCAGTGAGAAGAGGCAATATGTTCTCTCTGATGATTTAATTTATTTGTACACAGGAATTTTTATATATATATATATATATATATATATGAATCTCTGGGGCTTTGTTGGAAGAACTTTGAATTTGAGCATCTTCCATTTTTTGCTAAAATTGTAGAGTAATGTGAAAAAAGGAGCAGTAATCAGAGGTTCTGTGGTGTTAATAATTAGGGAACAGAGCAATGTGGTGTCAGAAGTCCTGAGGTGGAATAGAGAGGTGAAAACCACAGATCTTATATGAGAACCGGATGCCATTTTCCCTGATGACCCTCCATTTATTCCAACTAAAGTTTCTCTCTGGGCAGATACACAGAAAAACTTTGTCAGGCTCCCCATGTGTTTGGCCCAATGAGCATGCTAAATTCGAGTCCTGTGGCTGAGCCAGCAAGGTGACTTCCTGCTAATTTTTCACACTTGCACGAAAACAATTTACAAATACAGCTCTTTGACACTTTTACATTTTGTTATTGAACCCAGTGGCCTGAATTCTGAGACTATAAAGAGTTATTTGAAAGCATTTTCGCCCATAGGAAAAATTGTGTTCATTGTGATACAGCAGTTTATGTGGTAATTATTGTGCATAAGAAAGTCTTTTTTTGGACTTGCAATTCTGATTGTGATCGACATTACTCATGATTCAACTCAATCACTTCTTGTGATCACTTCTCCTGACCCCAGTTTGTAATACAAGCTTTCTGTAACATGTGCAGTCTTCAAACCCAAACCCAACTTAACTATTCAGGCCAGAATAAACAAAAGCTCTATTTTCACATTAAGTAGTACTCTTTATGATGAGTAAACTGAACCTTGATGTGTGAAACCGGTGGAGTGACCCTTTAACACAGCTTTTGAATCCCTTTCTGGCATGTCTAATGTGACTATTTCTCATTCCAGTTGCAACAAACATTGTGGTTTTACAGAATAATCAAGGTGCTGACAGACTGATTTCTCCGGCAGTATTAATCATCCTATAACTATGCGTGTGATGACAGATGGGCCCTGCAGTTATAATTCTACCTAAGAGAGGGAAGCAAAGAAGAAGCAAGGGAAGTGAAGAGTTAATTTCACTAAAAGCAAGTTTTCCAACCAGTCTGCCCCACTTTCAACCCCCTTTATGTGGTGAAGTGACCCCCACCTACAGAGCTGCTTACTCCCCTGGACCCTGTAGGCTGTCTGAGAATACGGGGAGGCTCCACGCTGGGCGTTTGATGGAGCGCAGAAGGGTGTGTGAGGTGCACTGACCCATTCACATCGCTCCCCATGCACTCGTGCTTCAGAATAGGCTGACTTATCACATGTAATGCACGGCGCTGCACAAATCAGGAGTGACAGCTATAGGGCCATATGAGCACTGAAGGAGAGAAGTGGCTTCTGGGAGCCGCTGTTCCCACCCAGTCGGACTATAAGAGAGAGCACGTGTGGACTAGAGAAGCCCATTTGTTGTTGTTGTTTCACCCTCCTCCATCACTGCTTTAACACTACCGGGACTTTTTTTGTGTGGCTTTTTTTACTACAAAACGTCTCTGTCTTCAAGAAAGCTCTCTCACTCACAAGGATTCTAAATGTGTGGTTTAGGACATTTGGCCATCTCTGAGATGTTTATGATTTATGTAGGTGCTGTAGTTCGACTTGATGTAATCTGTCTAATAGCTCACTTAATCCTCTTAAATTGTAACCCACATAAATCTTCACCACTGGAATGTGTCCCTGTTGTTACCTTGTTTTTTTTTCTGTGGTACTGCATGTTTGCGTGGGTTGGATTAGTGTGACATTTGTGGTGGTGCCTGGAGGTGTGAGCTCTAATCACCTCTAATCACCTCATGTGTGATGGCCTGATCCCTCTACAAGTGTTTGTGTTTTCACCCCTTTCACACACAGACTCACATGAGGAACTGAAGGCGATGTAGCCTACGTCTGAACTTAAATACCAGACTCTTGGTCACAGATTAGCGCCCCGGTCTTTGCCATTCACACAGCACTGGAACTACAGCTGCAGACACAGGGTCTGCAGCTGTAGTTCCAGACACATAGCATGAAGATGGGGTTGTTGAGAGGTAGGTTGCCTATTTTGTTCATCATGGATGTTAGTTGCAGCCACGCTTTCATACTGTTGATGAATTCAAGTATGAAGACTTACTTTAAATGGGGAGTGGTATTGTTGAACTTTTGCAGTTGTATTGTGGGAAATGAAATACTTGTTTTTGCAGTCGATAGAAACATAACTTATTTCTGGCAGAATGTGCCATAGCAAATCAGCCTTTCACACCAAAGCTTAGCAATTTAGAAAACACATAAAACTCAGGTTAGGCAACGGTGTTGCTGAGCCAGCATGGATAACCCGCGTTGACCCATTCACAACAACTACAAATACAGGTATTGTTCTGGGTTGTCGCTCGAGTGCATCAAACACTTATTAGCTCTGACTTGCAGGATTTGATACCAGATAGTTACCAAAGTATATGTACATGTCCTCTGTAGGTTTATCCTCTTCAGCTCTAACTGTAGTTTCTGTGTCCCTCTTGGCATGCTGTGTGTTTGTATGCCTGTGGCAATAGCTCATAATGCTTTCACACCTCGTTCAGCCCCTGCTCACATCCACGGCCGCGTTGCCCCCTTCTTTTCTGATCTACTTTCTCTGTACGAGTGATGTAAGAATCTTTAATGTGTCTCTCTCTGCGTGAAAGAGAGAGAGGCTATACGTGGATTCACATATACTCAGCTGTTCCCTGTAGTGAACCGGTCATAGAAAGGGCCGGACAAATAGCACAGTGAGAGAGCGGCTAAGTAACACCCCCCTCTTTTCTCCCCCTCTTCTTTCTCTGTGTCCGTCTCTCCCAGGCTGTCAGTGTGGGGTAGTGCTGGAGGCTGCGGGGCTGCAGTGTGCTGTGGGAAGTTCCTGAGAGGGCAGAGTGGCAGTCACACACAGAGAGACACTTGTACAGAAAGCGGATTTGCGCTCTTTCACGGAAGGATATAAAACACATCTCACACCTCTGCCTCTTTGCACGGGCGCGTCCGTTGTGGCTGCGCCTCAGGGATTTGAAGGAGGTGGGCGACTGGAGTTGGGGCTGGAGTGATGGTGGTGGTGTGGCTGCCTCAGGAGTGGGCCTGGCAGGCTGTTCTCCTGGTGACTGGACTAGCATCACTGAGCCGTGGGTCTAATGGTGAGTACTCTGCTGGACGCCAGCTCTTACTGTGTTTTGATGCTGCACCTTCCTGCTACCTTTATGTTTTAAGACGCAGCGAGGCTGATGAGGCTGAGGCCTTCATGTGATTGCTTCAACTCTATCACACATTGGCCAAACTGTAATGTAGAGCTGCAAGAAACAAATGAAAATACAATTTGTGCACATTTTCTTCTTGGGTTTCTATATTTGTTCTTTGGGGTCGATTTTTCTGAAGTCGGAAGCATTTTTTCACACATTTTCCACATTTATTACATTTATAGTGAGTGTTGTCAGGTTACAGGTTGATCGCTCTAGCTGTGAGGTTATCCGTCTATTTTTTACCCTGCAGAATTTATGATCAGCAAAAGCTATTGTGATCTCAACAGAGGCTACCATGAGAACGGGTGTGCATTTATCTGCCCTGTCCGCTCCTTCCCAACCACCCCCCGTCAACCACCCCCACCCCCACCACCCTGGTCATGTTTTGAATTGTTTGAAGATGGACAGCCAGTTGTCTTTTTACGATGAATGCCAACAGTGTCATGGTGCCCCGTAAGGTTGTGACAGGGGGGGAGGGTCGACAAGCTCTCAGCCTCAAGAAGATGACACTTGTGCATTTGTTCTGTTTCTGATCACGGAGAAGGAGAGACACATTGGTCAGTATAAGTGTTCGTATAAGTATGGCTTGGGATTTCCTGAAGTAGTAATTTTACCGTTTCTTCAAGTTGACCAGCCAAACATATGCATATTTTGCTTTTATCTTTAAGTTTCCCATTTGTGGCTTTTTATTAGATTTGAATCAAACAATCGATTAGTAGCCCTACAGAAAATTGGTGTGCAACTATTTTCATAATTACCAATTCTTTGTCTTATGCGATTGTATAATGCATATCTTACTGTTGGTTGGACCAAACAAGCAATTTAAGACATTACCTAGGCTTCAGGAATTTGTAATCATTATTTTATATATATTTTTCATTTTATTTTATACACCAAATAATTGATAGTCGATTGATAATCGATAATGAAAAAAATCATATGTTGCTGTGCTACTTTTAATGGTTTATGGGGGGAAGTGTAACCTTTGCAGACATACTCAGTTGTCAAAAACTTATTAAGAACACAGTTGGGTGTCAGGCTGTAAAGCCAGCATCTGGGTGCACACACACACACACACACACAGAAAAGCACAGTGTTTATAAATATTGCCATTAAGTGATGTTCTGGAAAATTTCACCATATGACTCTTTGCTGCAACTGGATCTCCCTTAAATGATAGATGTGTCAGTTCTTTAATTTAACCTATTGATGCTCTCCTGGTGCTGACATGGCCACTTTATGTACATACTCATACAGCAAAAATTGTAAAAACATCTTAAGACCAAAGCTTTAACAGTATATTAACAGAGTTGTCATTGACGCATTTTTTGGAAAATTCTTCGTAAATTGTAAAGCTTTAGAAAATGAAATAGCAGGAATAATATGCAGGTAGATATATATATATATATATATATATATATATATATATAACTCTGATGTAACTTCACATTAGAACACAAAGGGATATTGTTTAATCCTGAAAGAGATGCTTCACTGAAAATGTGTCTAAAGTAAAGACGAGCTGTAAAATCCCAGACTGACTGAGTAGTTCAGAGCTATCTGTAACTTTTCGCAGTTGGTCACGAAATACCTCAGCTGCTGATGAATGTTTCTTCAGAGAATCTCCTTCATTCTTATCTGTGCAGACGAAGCTCAGTGTTTAACTTCTCATCCAATATTAGTCCAGCGTGTTTGAGGGTCAGTCACCACACGGATGGAAGGGATGTGGGAAGATGGAGTGAAGTTCAAACAGAATCATGCGTGAAAGGTAGCATTGCTTTTTCTTTTTCCCCGCAACAGTTTGACTATAAACTATAAAGGAGGCAGTTTCTGGTTGTTCCTGTCAGTGCAGACGAAAGCCGTGAGCCTTCTTGCTAAGATTCCATACTTGATGCTCGTTCTGCAGCGTTCCACAATTTTACTCCTTCTGTCCACTTTCTTTCTTCAATACTTCAGCCACCAGTTGTCATTTGGTTTCCTCTGTGATCATGTAAAGGTCTCCTCCAAATGAGTAAAACATGTGGGAGGTTGCCCATAAATCTCAGCAGCACGGTCAATTTGCCACCTGTTGTAAGAGGCTGGTGAGGTTCACAGAGACTACATGAGCCCTAATCATTCCTCCATTCGCAACGCAGTGGAAATACAAAGAAGTTAGTTGTATGTTCGATTATGTCCTTTATGATAGTTACATTTTTTTATATTTTTTTATATTGTTTTTGGCTTATTTCTTCCATCCACATTTTTTGTTTTGCTTTATCCCATGTTTGTAACACAAAATTGCTGGGTGACAATAATAACCCATTGTGTCCTAGTCATAGCTGCAAATACGACTATAATCTGTATTAAGAAGGTGAGATGTTGCCTGACACCCACCAAGAGAGACACTGAGTCCCAGACTGATACAAGCTGTTTATGAATACTGCTGTTTTCAATCTCATCCCAAGACTGAAATATACAAAAGGCCAACAATGAGTTCACTTTATGCCACTAAAGCAATCTTCTGGTCTGCTAGACAGACATGTAAAGTCAACTAGTCAGTTTCCAACGACAATGTCTCGTGTTTTCTTTCACAGCGATCTTCAAATATCTGAAAATGTCAGTGTGTCTCTGTAGGAGTGTGTCCCTGTCGACATTCAGAGGAATTTCTAGTTTACTTTATCATCAACCATTCGTTTTCTGTAGCTCCACTTCAGGACAACTCCGAATTGCAAATCTTCTTTGAATTTAGGATCGGGGAAAACAGGATCATTGTGATGTTCTTTAAGGATCATTGTATTTGTTCTTGAAATAGAAAGTTTGTGACTTCATTGAGAACTTGGTGCTTTTTGGTTCCTCTATTTGTAACATTATTCTAAGTTTAGGATATATATATATATATATATCCTAAACTTAGAA